AAAAAATTTTAAAAAAACCGTAAAAAAATGTTTTAATTTTTTGGTGGGGGGTTTGAGGGGACCCAAAAGAAAAAAAAATGTTTGGGGGGGGTTGGGGTTTTGGGTTTTTTTCGGGGGAATTCGAGCGCCCAGTCAACGTCCCATTGTGACAGTGGTGATAATGAGTACACCATCCCCGTTCACAATTCCTTTGAAGCCTTAAGCAGTCTCGAGAATGACAATCCTGCTGATGTTGCTTCACATGACGTAGATGATTTTGGGGATGAAGTGGAACAAATTTTTTCTGATGACAATCCACCTTTTTGTTTGCACATAACTTCCAATGCAACCATAGGCCCTATAGTGCAAGCATCTGTTCATAGTGCGCCCCTTCATTTGTTCATGGACTCTGGTGCGCAAGTCAATATTATCAGGTCTAGTTTGTTTAGGGATAAGCAGTTACAACATGTCCTTCTCGTAGAACCGACTCACGTGTCCTCCCTTAGTGGAGTAGCTGGTTCTCACCTGCGTGTCCGGGGTCAGACTTCCCTCACCTTTTCTTAACCAAGGTAGAGACTTTACTGCTTCCTTCCTTGTTGTCGACCAGATTACTTTCCCTGGTGACCTACTGGGATTTGCTTCCATGCGAGATTTTACGCATTTGTGCTCGACCTTATCGATGGCATGCCCAAATTGATGACTTGATTGTACCATTTTGGGGTTACCAGCTTGGATCTGAGATCTGCCATTCTGCCGCAGAGTACGACATTCGGATTAAGTCCTTACAGGCCAGTGCATTTTCCAGTAGCGTACCCAAGCGGTCAGGCACTGGTGATCCTGTCACTCCTGTCTGTGTTCCTGCAACTTCAGGCTTGCAAGATAGTGTCCAGTTACCTCAAGTGTCTGAGGATGCTCTGACTACCTTGAGTGCTGAGCCTATCCCTGCAATGTCTGCTAGTTCAAGTAGTAGTTTCTCCACAGGGGACGCCTTGTTGGAAAACGATTACTTGCAACTAGTAATGCCATCTCTTGTTGATGTCACATGCCGTCTGCAGAAAGACATTTCTGTCACAGCTAGTGCCCTCACTAGAGTGTCTGTTGTTGTTCCTAGTGTTCCAGATGGTGATAACGTCCTAGTTGACAGTGATTCTTGCAAAGTAAAAGGTCTATTTGTTGAACCATCCTTACATGTTGTAAGAGATAGTAAGATCCATTTCTTCCTAGCTAACACTTCTGGTCACAGTGTTCGTCTCAGAGCAAATACCAATCTTGTTGACCTTGTTCACTATCCTTACTCTGTTCAGGTAGAGGATGAGTTGTCACCTGACCAGTGGGTCGGTGCTATTTCTACCGGGGAGACCTCATCCACTTCACTGGATCAATCTGTTCCACCAGTTTAGGAGAAAGACTTAGCTCCCACTGACTTCCCAGATGAGGTCAAGCGTTTGTTGACTCTGTTGAACAAACGTGGTAAAGCCATTGCCTTACCAGGTGAGAAGATGGGTATAACGAACTTATTGTCCCATCGTATTCCACTTGAACCTGGTACTAGACCTATCTATATCCCTGCGTACAGAATGCCTCATTCACAAGTTGCTGTCGCAGAAGAATTGATCAATCAAATGCTTGATGATGGAGTTATTGCACCTAGCAATTCACCTTGGAATGTGCCCTTGATCCTAGTACCTAAGAAGGATGGTACTTGGCTCCCAGTGATTGGCTTTAGGAAGTTAAATGTGAAAACTATTCCAGATCGCTTCCCACTTCCTGTACTGGGTGATCTTTTACGCAACATCGGAAATAACAAAGTCTTTTCAACGCTGGATTTGTTACAAGGGTTTTGGCAAGGCCCTCTTCATGAGGACAGCCAAGAGCTAACTGCATTCTCCACTCCTACAGGTCATTATCACTTCCTCCATATGGCCTTTGGATTACAATCCTCCCCTATCACGTTCTCAAGGCTCATGACTAATATCTTTAGAGGTCTCATAGGTAATGCACTTATGGTGTACTTAGATGACGTAATCGTCATGTCTAAAAATGTGGATACACACTTGAAAAGACTTGGTGTAGTACTTGGTAAGCTTGAAGAAGCCAATTTAAAGATCAAACTGTCTAAATGTCAATTTTTCAGATCAGAAATCAAGTTTCTTGGTCATGTAGTCACTCCTAGAGGGGTTACGACTGACCAAAGTAAAGTAACTGCAGTACTAAATTTTTCAACTCCCAAAACTGCTGATGCCATAAGATCCTTTGTGGGCTTAGCAGGTTTTTATAGATCTTTCATTGCCAATTTTTCTTCCATAGCTGCTCCTCTAACTGAGTTGCTTAAGAAAGATGTTCCTTTCGTTTGGACCTTCCGTCAAGAAAGAGCATTCCAAACTCTAAAAGAAAAGCTAACATCTGCTCTAATTTTGAAATTCCCAGATTTTTCTAAGCCCTTCTATCTGACAACTGATGCTAGTTCTATTGGCATAGGTGCCGTACTAGCTCAGAAGACTGATTGCAAGTACAACACAGTTGCATTTGCTAGCCGAGTCCTTACGAAGGCTGAACGTAATTATACAGTAACTGAGCAAGAAGCTTTAGCAATAGTATGGTCTTTAAAGCACTTCCGAGACATTATTTATCAGTACTCGGTTCGTCTTGACAGACCATGCTCCACTGATACCTTTGTTCCAGAACAAACAACCTACTGGAAGGTTAGCCAGATGGACCTTGACTATCCAAGAGTTCAATCCCACCGCTGCCACCAATTTGTCATGTGGGTTCGATAACGTGGATGGGGTAAAAATACTCACGTAGGCTGGTTAGTACGTATAATTATAACGGAAGTATGGGAAGCACCGTCAGCCGACCTGCCTCTCTCTGCTCCCTATATCAGACTGACCCACCAGTGCCTACGGTGAGCAGTGTTTGAAAACATGCTATGGTCAGCAGTAACATGAATAACAGTCAGTGATTCACACAGACGGTTGGTAGTGCGTCATCTACTGGTACACTGGTTACTGGTAACTGGTTACTAGGAACTGGTACTACTACTGAGAGCTCGGCATGTTTTCAAACACCTCTCACCGTAGGCACTGGTGGGTCAGTCTGAGATAGGGAGCAGAGAGAGGCAGGTCGGCTGACGGTGCTTCCCATACTTCCATTATAATTATATGTGCTAACCAGCCTACGTGAGTATTTTTACCCCATCCACGTTATCGAACCCACATGACACCAGGATGTACACGTTTATAGAGGGGCAACTGATATATCGGATCATTATTTAATTGTAGCTACTGCTAGAGTAAGAGGTAGATGGGAAAAGAGGAAAATGGCAACAACAAGCAAGAGGGAGGTGAAAGTGTATAAACTAAGGGAGGATTATGTTCAGGTGAGATATAAGCTGGTGGGCTGGTGCAAATATTAGTAGTTAGGGGGTTGAAGAGGGTTGGAATAGTTTTAAAAATGCAGTAATAGAATGTGGGGCAGAAGTTTGTGGTTATAGGAGAGTGGGTGCAGGAGGAATGAGGAGTGATTGGTGGAATGATGAAGTAAAGGGTGTGATAAAAGAGGAAAAGTTAGCTTATGAGAGGTTTTTACAAAGCAGAAGTGTTATAAGAAGAATAGAGTATATGGAGAGCAAAAGAAAGATGAGAGTGGTGAGAGAGTGCAAAAGAAGAGCAGATAATAGAATAGGAGAGGCACTGTCAAGAAATTTTAATGAAAATAAGAAAAAATTTTGGAGTCTGTTAAACAAGTTAAGAAAGCCTAGAGAATGAATTGATTTGTCAGTTAAAAACAGAGTAGGGGAGTTAGTAGATGGGGAGATGGAGGTTTTGGGTAGATGGCGAGAATATTTTGAGGAACTTTTAAATGTTGACGAAGAAAGGGAAGCGGTAATTTCATGCACTGGCCAGGGAGGTATGCTGTGGAAATTTATTCTGTCCTAAAGTTCCACAGGGCCAATACGTCGTACAAAGATCCCAGCATGTCATGGATGGAACGGCTGGGTTGGGTGGCCCTTACACCCACCCAAAACACACACACACACACACACCCGGGTTGGCGAGGGTGGTTGGAAGGTACTTCTTAATTGATAGATTTACCCTTCAAGGAAGAGGTAGGTAGTTTATACTGTTAGTACACTAATACACCTACCATCCGACTTACGACCGAGTTCGGTTCTGAGAAACCGGTCGTAAGTCGAAATGGTCGTAAGTCGAACTTTACTAATGAATATCAACAAAACATTTTTGTAATGACTTTATTTTATTGTTTTATTTTGGTATTTCATGTTTTACTTTACTTTTTATGCTGTTAGTACTGTATTTTATACTGTAAGGTTTAGGATAAACACTGTGTGCAACACAAATACAGTGGACCCTCAACCAGCGATATTAATCCGTTCCTGAGAGCTCATCGTTAATCGAAATAATCGTTAGTCAAGTTAATTTTCCCCATAAGAAATAATGGAAATCAAAATAATCCGTGCAAGACTCCCCAAAGTATTGAAAAAAAAAATTTTACCATATGAAATATTAATTTTAATACACACAAACTGAAGAAGACATGCACAGTTACATGACACTTACCTTTATTGAAGATCTGGTAATGATTGATGGAATGGGAGGAGGGGAGACCTTTGATCTTCTTAGTGTTTAGAAGGGGAATCCCCTTCCATTAGCATTGAGGTAGCAAGTCTTTTTCTGGGGTTACTTCCCTTCTTCTTTTTAAAGCCACTAGGACCAGCTTGAGAGTCACTGGACTTCTGTCGCACAACATATCTGTCCATAGATACCTGTACCTCTCGTTCCTTTATGACTTTCCTAAAGTGGTTCACAACATTGTCAGTGTACAGGTTGCCAACACGGCTTGCAGTAGCTGTGTCAGGGTGATTTTCATCAAAAAAGGTTTGCACTTCAAAGCCACTTTGCACACATTTCCTTAATCTTAGAAGTAGGCAACTTCTTCCCAAATTTTTCTATCCCCTCCTCCCAAGCAGTTTCCTCAGGTTGCCCCCTCTTGCTGTTCAAGATGATCTAGCAGCTCATCAGTTGTTAGTTCTTCATTGTCCTCCTCCACCAGCTCTTCCACATCCTCCCCCCTAACCTCTACCCCAAAGGGCTTCCCCAATGCCACAAAGGATTCCTCAACTGGCATAGGATTCTCAGGTTAGCCTCAAACCCTTCACAATCCCTTTTTCTACAATTCTGGCCACAGTTTTTTCCAAGCAGAGTTCAGGTCCTCTTAGTCACTTCCTCCCAAGCCCTTACCTATAATGTTTACACAATTGAGGATGGTAAAATGATCTTTCCAAAACTCTATTAGAGTCAGTTGAGTTTCTGAGGTCACTACAAAGCACCTTTCAAACATAGCTTTTGTGTACAGTTTCTTGAAGTTGGAAATGACATGCTGGTCCATGGGCTGCAGGAGAGGAGTGGTATTAGGAGGCAAAAACTTCACCTTAATGAAGCTCATGTCCGCAGAAAGTCGCTCTGCCAAGTCTGAAGGATGACCAGGAGCATTGTCTAATTCCAGGAGGCACTTAAGGTCTAATTTCTTTTCAATTAGGTAGTTTTTCGCATTGGGGGCAAATGCATGGTGTAACCAGTCATAGAAAAAGTCCCTAGTGACCCATGCCTTACTGTTTGCCCTACACAGCACACACAAATTAGCCTTGACGGCGTTGTTTTTCCTGAACACTCTGGGAGTTTCAAAGTGATACACCAATAAAGGCTTCACTTTGCAATCACGACTAGCATTGGCACACATCAACAGAGTAAGCCTGTCTTTCATAGGCTTATGTCCTGGGAGTGCCTTTTCCTCCTGAGTAATGTACGTCCTGCTTGGCATTTTCTTCCAAACCAGGCCTGTTTCATCACAAATTAAACACTTGTTCAGGTTTCAGTCCTTCACTGTCTGTGTACCCCTTGAATTCCTGCACATATTTTTTCAGCCGCTTTTGTGGTCCGACTGGCAGCATCATCATCTTCTTATCACACTATGAATGCCATACGCTTCTTAAATCTCTCAAACAACCCTTTGTGGCCTTAAATTCATCACATCACTAGTTGCTGGCATTTTTTTAATTAAATCATCATGCAACTTCCTAGCCTTTTCAACATATGATCGCTTGAGAGATGCTATCTCCTGCTATCTGTTTCTCGTTTACCCCAACCAATAAGAGTCTCTCAACATCATCTACTGCTTGCGATCTCAGTTTCGAAAACATAGTTGCACCTTTGGCAAGAACAGCTTCCTTGATTCCCGTTTTCTTGCCGCAATAGTAGCGATGGTTGATTGGGGTTTATTATACAACCTGACCAGCTCAGAGACACGCACTCCACTTTCATTCTTAGCAATGATCTCTTTCTTCGTATCCTTAGTATTTTTTCCCCCTTTTTTGCTGTAGGGTTGGCCTAGAAGCTTTTGGGGCCCATGGTGACTTATTTTGCAGGTGCAATCACTACAAAGGCTGTGATAATGTGAAATGTTCCAGTTGTATGTTTGGAAGCGACCGCGGTGGCTGGCTTGTAAAGACTGGCACCCACGGGACAAGTGAGGCGCGCTCAGGCCAAAGTGGACGCGTCTCATACGGAACGAATAGCGCTGGTCGGGTTTTAAGCGCTAGTCGAGGCAAAATTTTTGCATTAAAACGTATCGCTAGTCAGATTTATCGTTAATCGATGCCATCGCTGGTTGAGGGTCCACTGTAGTTGTTTATTTCCCAGAAATTTGGCATAAAAAACACGGTCGTAAGTCGAGTGGTCATAAGTCGAGCAGGTTGTAAGTTGGATGGTAGGTGTATTAGGATTATTGAGGCAACTGTAGATAATAATAATGTAGACATAAGACCTTAACATAGGTAGTAATAGGCCGATAATGTAGGGAAACACTAAAGGGTTATATTAGCCAGGGAGAACTGGCAGCCCAAGTTTGAATACTGGGGCATGGGTTTGAGACTGCAGTGCCCATTCTTCTAAGACTAGACACCGTCGGAGCAACAAGTGCCGTGATCAGCAGACGCGCCCCCACGTGTCTTCACATACTAGACCTGGGAAAATCTGGTTGAGGCACCTCGACGTACCGTAGATGTCCTCCTCCATCAGGCCCATACAGTAAGACGAGACCTCCCTTTTCTCACTCAGTTCTGGCCAGTCTCTGGGGGGAATTTGTGAGTGAGTTTAGCTGTGGGCCTTTGTGCAGGTGGGCAGTTCATGACCAGTATGCACCGGCGTCCCTTGCCAGCCTAGAAGCTAATGTCACTCTCTGCATAGTTAGTCTAGGGGATTTTCACCCCCATGGAAACTGGGATTTCTGAGGTGCAGGCAGGTCACTAATAATGACTGAATATTGCAGGAATTAAGGCTCCCGGTTGCACGTGGTTCTGAGGGGAAGTATAGAGGGGCTAAAGCTTAGGGAGGTTGAAGATCGGGACACATTCTCCAACACCAAGTAAGTTAGTCCTTATACGTGCATGCAGGCAAGATTTCTTGCAACATCAGTCATTTATGGAAATCCGTCCTATAAGCCACTTGTGAGGCTGACGTACCGACCTCAGGGCTCGGTGTCAACAGAGCTTGCCAGGGTAGACAACTCACATGGAGGCAGTACAGACAAATTTTCACATATACCATCTTTTAGGAGTGAAAAAGAACAGGATGTGAGTGTGGGGGAGGTGAGTGAGGCATTATGTAGAATGAAAGGGGGTAAAGCAGCTGGAACTGATGGGATCATGATAGAAATGTTAAAAGCAGGGGGGTGGGGATATAGTGTTGGAGTGGTTGGTATTTTTGTTTAATAAATGTATGGAAGAGGGGAAGGTACCTAGGGATTGGCAGAGAGCATGTATAGTCCCTTTATATAAAGGGAAGGAGGACAAAAGAGATTGTAAAAATTATAGAGGAATAAGTTTACTGAGTATACCAGGAAAAGTGTACGGTAGGGTTATAATTTAAAGAATTAGAGGTAAGACAGAATGTAGGATTGCGGATGAGCAAGGAGGTTTCAGAGTGGGTAGGGGATGTGTAGATCAAGTGTTTACATTGAGGCATATATGTGAACAGTATTTAGATAAAGGTAGGGAAGTTTTTATTGCATTTATGGATTTAGAAAAGGCGTTTGATAGAGTGGATAAGGGAGCAATATGGCAGACGTTGCAGGTATATGGAATAGGTGGTAAGTTACTAAATGCTGTAAAGAGTTTTTATGAGGATAGTGAGGCTCAGGTTAGGTTGTGTAGAAGAGAGGGAGACTACTTCCCAGTAAAAGTAGGTCTTAGACAGGGATGTGTAATGTCACCATGGTTGTTTAATATATTTATAGATGGAGTTGTAAAAGAAGTAAATGCCAGGGTGTTCGGGAGAGGGGTAGGATTAAATTATGGGGAATCAAATACAAAATGGAAATTGACACAGTTGCTTTTTGCTGATGAAACTGTGCTTATGGGAGATTCTAAAGAAAAATTGCAAAGGTTAGTGAATGAGTTTGGGAGTGTGTGTAAAGGCAGAAAGTTGAAAGTGAGCATAGAAAAGAGTAAGGGGATGAGGGTATCAAATGATTTAGATAAAGAAAAATTGGATATCAAATTGGGGAGGAGGAGTATGGAAGAAGTGATTGTTTTCAGATACTTGGGAGTTGACGTGTCAGTGGATGAATTTATGAAGGATGAGGTTAATCATAGAATTGATGAGGGAAAAAAAGGGTTTAGTGGTGTGCTGAGGTACATGTGGAGACAAAAACGTTATCTATTTGGGGGCAAAGAAGGGGAAAGTATGAAAGTATAGTAGTACCAACATCTTATATGGGGTGTGAAGCTTGGGTTGTGAATGCAGCAGTGAGGACATGGTTGGAGGCAGTGGAGATGTCCTGTCTAAAAGGGGAATGTGTGGTGTAAATATTATGCAGAAAATTCGGAGTGTGGAAATTAGGAGAAGGTGTGGAGTTAATAAATGTATTAGTCAGAGGGCTCAAGAGGGGTTGTTGAGGTGGTTTGGTCATTTAGAGAGAATGGATCAAAGTAGAATGACATGGAGAGTGTATAAATCTGTAGGGGAAGGAAGGCAGGGTAGGGGTCATCCTCGAAAAGGTTGGAGGGAGGGGGGTAAAGGAGGTTTTGTGGGCGAGGGGCTTGGACTTCCAGCAAGCGTACGTGAGTGTGTTAGATAGGAGTGAATGGAGATGAATGGTATTTGGGACCTAATGATCTGCTGGAGTGTGAGCAGGGTAATATTTAGTGAAGGGATTCAGGGAAACCGGTTATTTTTATATAGCCGGACTTGAGTCCTGGAAATGGGAAGTACAGTGCCTGCACTCTAAAGGAGGGGTTCGAGATATTAGCAGTTTGGAGGGATATGTTGTGTATGTTTATAGGTATATGCTTCTAGGCTGTTGTGTTCTGAGCACCTCTGCAAAAACAGTGATTATGTGTGAGTGAGGTGAAAGTGTTGAATGATGACATTGCAAAATACCAGGAAGTTATTGGGCATCTCTGGTGATGTGGTTAGAACAATGATAGAACCATACCTTGGTAAGGGGCATATATTGTATACTGATAACTGGTACACAAGCCCCTCACTCAGTGATTTTTTGCGAGTGAACATGACAGATGTGTGTGGCACAGTGCGTGCAGATCGTAAGCATATGCCCAGGTTTGACGCTGGCACTCGTAGAGGTGAGGTACAGGCGTTTGCTGCCAATGACTTCATGGCATTTCGGTGGCATGACAAACGAGATGTCACACTGTTGTCATCAGTTCACCCTAATGAAATGGCAGACACTGGCAGGCAGCATAGAGAAAGCAATGAACCCATTCTAAAACCTACAGCTGTGATTGATTACACCCTCAATATGCTCTCAGTGGACAAATGTGACATGCAGATTGGGTTTGCTGATTGTGTTCGCAAGAGTTTTAAGTGGTATATAAAACTTTTTCCATCTTCTGGACATTTCCATGCTCAATGCTTATAATATGTATAAGATGAGGACCAGAAACAAACCATCATATGGCAGATTCTGTTTGTCTGTCATCAGACAAATAGTATTCAAGTACCAAGGAACAGCACCTGCAATAGGCAATAGACCGCCCACTAAATTATCAACAACTACCTTCTCATATGAAGCATGGTGATCACTTCCTGGTAAAACTGCCTGCTACTGCTTTCAAGAAAAAGGCTCAGAAGAGGTGTCATGTCTGTGCACATACAAAAAAACGCCCACAACAACGCAGAGACACTCGTTTTATGTGCGAGGAGTGTAAAACACCATTGTGCATGACACCGTGTTTCAAAGACTTCCACAGGCTGCAGAACTTCTAGAAACATATCCTGTGACTATATATGTGTATATAAAATATAGAAAAATAGTAATAAACAACATTTCATATCTTCTGTTTGTGTAAATATTTTCTGTAAACAAAACAGTGACAACAGTGTTCATGCAGTTATTGTGTAGTATAGAAAAAGAAATAACTTAGAAAATAGTGCTCATATTGGTCTTACAGGCCATAAAAGTTACTTGGAAAAAAAAATTAAAAAATAATAGAAAATAGTACATAAAAAACTAAATAAAACAATACCGGGTGACGGCAGTCGGCGATGATACCATATACCGCGCATTTTGTGTCAACTTCACGCCTCCATATCTCGGTAAGTATTGATGGTAAAAATTTTTTGTTTAGCCTGTAATGTTTAGAAAAAAAATCTTTTCATAAGAAAAAAATGGTAATAAAGTTGGTAGAATTACCGACAATATGTAAAGTAAAAGGACACAAGTGCAACTAATCAGCACTGATCGCTGTTTCGAATACAATTAAACAAAACAACAGCAGCTTCACCATCTCTGAAGTCTTAGCAAGAATCCTCCTGAAAACAGTAAACCCTGCCATCACATAGTCTCTCCTGTTATACTACACAAAGCACATTACAGAGAGTGAACACTGAAACAAGCTGCCTCTTTCCAGTCTATATTTGTCCAACCTATTTTTATGTTACCCAAGTAATAGCTTTTATTTCCTTTTACTCATGTACAAATTAGTTGCTCTACATCATCATCCTCATCATCATCCTCATCCTCATCATCATCCTCATCATCATCCTCATCATCCTCATCATCATCATCATCATCATCCTCATCCTCATCCTCCTCATCCTCCTCCTCCTTCTTCTTCTTCTTCTTCAGAACATTGAAATGGTACCTCACTAGTATTGCTCCTCACTCTGAGCCCATGTATTGTTTGTAATGGCTTGATAAAGCTCCTGGAGAGTGAAACGTTGTCACAATAAAATGTCACATTAGTTGCACTTGTGTCCTTTTACTTTACATACAAGAAAAAAATAATTTTTTTTTTTTTTTTAAATTTGGGTGACCCAGAGAACAAGTCTCTGAGAGGACCTGCCGACCCCCAAAGGGTTAAACTATAATATAATATAGTGCTTACTCATTACTTACCTTAAAATATCTGTAGTCTTAATGTAATGTGAGTGGTGAGTAAACAAGATTAAATGAATAAACGAGAGAGAGAATGAGTGTGTAGAAGGTTCGGTAGTTTTGTAAACTAGTTGTTGTTGTTACCAGCCCAGACACGAATGGTTTTTGTTCACTCTGTCAAGCCGACTGGAAAAACATCTCATATTTATCTTAATTTATATGTTACAAAGCGTGTTTATTATATAATTTTGAAAAAAATCATAGATGGATTAAGGAAAATGTCTATATTGATGTTGTATATACGTACATTTAATGCGCCTCAGAGTGATTATTATTGTTATTATAATTATTATTATGGCATCTTCAAGACCAATAACACACTCTTAATGATTTTAATGTGTACCTGCACACCAGCACAGGTGCAAGATGTGGAGTTTAAAGTACTTAAGTTTATATTTTATTTATTCTAGAGTGTATATCAGGTTTTTATGTTATTTACATATATTGTTTATGTCATATTAGATGAATTGTGATAGATAAATAAGCTGTATAGCAATATTAGCATCATATTGAAGATGTGACAACTCTGCTTCGTGTGTAATACCTGTTGGTTAATGAGCGACTCTGAGACAGAGAGACAAGCAGACAGAAAGACAGACACAGGTAGACAGAAAGACAGATACATAGGTAGACAGAAAGACAGACACACAGATAGACAGACACACACAGGAAGACAAGACAGACAGAGACAGACAGACAGATATACAGGCAGACAAATACAGACAAATTTATGTGCAACAGTGAAAATAGAGAAAGTTCGAGAGTAAGAGCCTTTCTTGCCACAATCTCCAGTGCAAAATTCAGACTTCCTCTTAGGGACCATGGTGAAATTTACTGTCCAGTTAGTACAGTTAATACAGTATGATGCTGCTGATAGGGCAAGGTAACTCAAATTGATGCTGCTTGCATGGCGCATTGCTGCCACGAGTACCGTCAAATATTGTACAGTGGTATGTATCAGCCGGCCCAGCCCAGCTGCCAGATGTTCGGTGGTAAGTCGAGTGGACGTATGTCGAGCAGGTCGTATGTCGGATGATAGGTGTACAATTTTTTTGATCTTCTTATCAGGCTGGTAAGAGCTGACGAGTAACGTTTAGACTGGTCTCTAGTTATTTTACCCACTCTGTACTGTTTTTCATATTTATGCTTTGTGTTAATGGATTTAAGGATGCTGGGTGTTAGCCAGGGACTATTCAGTCTCGTTGCTGTGATCTGTGTAGTTTTTTTAGGGCAATGTTTGTTGTAGAGGTAATGGGCTTTTTTTAGAAAATTATTTATACATTCATTCATATTTGTAGGGCACCACTTCCTGCTTTCACTGCATAATATTTCCTTTTTTTTTTTAGTCAGAAGGTACTAGTATTTACTAGATTAGTTCTAAGCACTGGAGAGATTTACAGTAATTCTTGAAAACTAGAGAGTAACAAGGATGTGGTATTCTGTCCTCTCCCAGTATGTAACTGTAATTTTTTACTGTACAAATCTGATGTTAAAACTAAATATTTTATTACCATTTTGCAGTTTTGTGTCCCTTGCTGGATTATCTATTGATCACAAGATTCTCTGGGATCCCCATGTTGGAGAGTTATGGTCGGAAAAAGTGGGGTACTTCACCTCAGTACCAAGCCTATGTCAAGAACACACCACCTCTGGTACCCTTCATTGGTTAATCCAAGTTATAGTGTTCAGTTAGTGAAAAATTACTGTGATTTATTAATGAAAACAGAGTACTGTAATTAGAACATTAAAAATTTTTCAGTAGGCAGAGTACTGTTTTTTTTAAATTTAACCCCCCCTTTTTTTTTATTTTTAAATTAGTTCCCACAAAAGAGAATTTCTACAAAAAAAACTGTTCTCAAAATTTAAATTTAAACCACCTTCATTACTGTCAAAAAAAAGGAATCGGGTTTTTTTCCTTAGTATTATTCATGGGGGAAAACCTTAAACCTTTTTGGGGGTTTTTTCAATCCCTCGGGGAAAATGGAAGGCCATCAGATTCAATCCAAGGATCACATCGGGAAAAATTGAAAAGTTTTAGTTTAATCAGTCCCTCAGCTTAAAGGGATGTGTTTTAGTCCCATTAGTCTTTATAGAAGTATAGCATCTGCAGGAAAAGGCTTTAATACTGCAGACGGGGAAGGGTTAAGTTTAAAGGGGAGGGGGAGCTAAATCACCAATTTTTTTTTTTTTTTCAGATTTTAATGGGATTGTGACGGGGGTTTTTTAAGCAGTTTAAAAAAACATATAGGCTGTGTTTGTTTGACTGTTACCCCTTCAAGTTAGATAGAAAAAATTTTTTTTGCACAATTTTATGGGTCCTGGAAATTAACAATTTTTACCCAAATTGGGAAAATGTAAATGCCCCTAGTTTTTACTCAGATGAAAGATAAAGATTAAATAAAAAACACAGGGGCAAAATTTTGTGATAATTTTCGTGATTTTCCCTAAAAAAAAATTTTTGAAGTTGTTTTTTTTTTTTTTAGGGGGAAAAAAAACATTTGCAAAAAGATATTTTTCAATGGCCCAAAAACCCCCCTGATTTTTTGTAAACCCCTTTTCCCCAATAAGGTCTGCAAAAATCATGACAATTCAAAAATACTTATTGCAGGGAGGGTTAATTTTCTTTTAAATTTTACTGAGTTTTTTTTAATTTTTTTTGGGGGTGTGAAAACGTTGGGAAGTGGGGTGCCCAAAATTTCTGGTGCTCACCCCCCCTTCCCTTTTTTTCAGCCTGCGGCTACTGCGGATTTGCTGTCGGTCTCCACAACTAGCCACACACTTGTTGCCAGTAGAGTTTTTTACAAAGAAAAAAATAAAAAAAATCTTTAAATTTTTGGGAGGAAAAAAAAAAATTTTTATTGCCAAGATGTATTTTTGCTGACGCAGAACCCAAAAAAAATTTCATTTAATAAAAAACATACTTAGAAAAATGATAGAAACAAGCTTATTACATCAAAATGTTGCCAAAATTTTGCACTATTTTTCAGTAAGAAAACATTTTTTTCCATAATTTTTCAATTTTAATGTCCTGATCACTGAAAAAAGGCTCGCCCCTCCCTTATCCTATAGGCATGACCTATTTACACTAACGGATTTTTCCACTGATGATGCCATCTCCAACTGCTTCACCTTACCTATCTGCAGTACAAAAGCCCCTTCTCCATGCATGTGCTATATTTTTATTAACCCTTTGACTGTTTCGGTCGTATATACACGTCTTACAAGCCATCGTATTTGATGTATATATACTCATAAATTCTAGCAGGAATAACATCTTGTAGGAGTGAGGAAGAGCCAGTTGTGAGTGTGGGGGAAGTTCGTGAGGCAGTAGGTAAAATGAAAGGGGGTAAGGCAGCTGGGATTGATGGGAAAAGATAGAAATGTTAAAAGCAGGTGGGGATATAGTTTTGGAGTGGTTGGTGCAGTTATTTAATAAATGTATGGAAGAGGGTAAGGTACCTAGGGATTGGCAGAGAGCATGCATAGAGAGAGTGCAAAAATTATAGGGGGATAAGTCTGTTGAGTATACCTGGTAAAGTGTATGGTAGAGTTATTATTGAAAGAATTAAGAGTAAGACGGAGAATAGGATAGCAGATGAACAAGGAAGCTTTAGGAAAGGTATGGGGTGTGTGGACCAGGTGTTTACAGTGAAACATATAAGTGAACAGTATTTAACCCTTTCAGGGTCCAAGGCCAAAATCTGAAGTCATGCACCAGTGTCCAAGAAATTTTGAAAAAAAAAAAAAATTATTTTTTCTTACAGAATTAAAGAGCATATTTTTGTGAAGGTAATAAAACAAAAAAAATTAGAATCTGATCAGTACTTACCGAGATACAGTGCCAAGAAGTTTGTAGAAAATGATGTGGTGGCGGCAACATCGACGAATTCCACATACGCGTATTATATTATTTTGTTGTTTTAGTTGTTTTTTCTTTTCTTTTCCAATTTTTTTTCTATTCCTACTAACATTTGGGGCCTGAGAGACCAATACTGTATATAATTGATATATATATACTCATTGTATTGAACACAATAACCGCACTAAAGTTATTATCATATTATTGTATACCACTGTTGTTTAATACAATAAACAAGCACAAATATTGTATAATACTAATGTTCTACCATATATATACATATTTACAATACACTGGACATGGTTTTTAGGATACTGCTGGAGCTTGTGGAACTCCCTTGAAACAAGGCACCATGCACAGAGGCACCCTTACATTCCTCACACATAAACCGAGTGTCTTTGCGTCATTTTGTCCATCGTTTTGTTTTGTTCACAGACAATGCATCTCTTCTGAGCAAATTTCTTTTGAGTTTTGAAGGAAGCTGTATTCTGACATGATCACCTTCTCATCCTCAAACCTTGGGAAATTGTGATGAATTCGAGGACCATGTATTGTATTGCAGGTGTTGTTACCTTGTACTCATTATGAGTTGGTCTTACAACAGACAAACAAAATTCCACCAAATGGTGGTCTTTTACCAGTCTTTTATTTGGTACATATTAATATGCAATTAGCATTGAAATTCCAAGAGATGGAAGAAAAGTTTCCATGTACCACTGTAGCTCTTACGAACACAGTCAACAAAACCATATCTGCATGTCACACTTGTCAACCTAGCCGCATGTTTTGTGTATAACAATCAATGTCCACTGGTTTTCGGAATACGTTCATTAGTCACTCGATCAACTATTGCCACTGTACTTGCCATTTCATTAATGAATGGTTCCAACAATGTACATCTCGTTTTGTCCATGGCACCCGTAATGCCATGATGTCCATTGGAGGAAACACCTGAACCGTCATCACCACGAACACCTGCATTGAAGCCTGGTCCATATGTTTACGATTAGAACGCACTCGTCCACACACAACTGTCTTGTATCACTCGCATGAAATCACTGGCTTGTGTACCAGTTTATCGGTAATATAAATGTATGGCCCTTACCAAGATAAGGGTCCATCAAGTTCTCACTACATCACCTGATATACCCAATAACATCTTGGATCTTTCAATTTATCTTACTAACCGTGTATACAACAATATATCCAGCACCCAGTCACTGTCACAATCACAAGAGTAACAGAAGCAATTTTATACCAAAGCGGTTCTTTGCTCGGTATATACTGCTTAATGACAGGTCTACCTTTAAACAAAATCAAAGACTCGTCAATTACAAGATTCTTGAATGATAAAAGTATATCCAGTACTTTTGTTTGATGATACATGAAAGACATTTCTAATCTGTATAACCTGTCACTTCTGTCCCAGGCCTAGGTATTGTCATAGAAGTGCAACATACGTAACATAAGGTAAACCCAGTTCATGGTATTATTTCACTGAAGGATGGGGCACCAATTAGCCGATCTGTGGACCAGTATGCTTATATTATGCTTATAGACGTGAGGCATAATCATTATTGTTCAAAAAGCAAATACATTTCTGCAACATCGTCTCTTTCCAACCTGTGTAGTCTTGACTGTGGTGATAGATCATATTTGGCCAGGTTGTACTGAAAATACTTAATAACTTTCCATGGACAATAATTTTCCATCAATGGCTGGTCAAAGAATTATTCAAAGAATATCCAGTTCATTGGCCGTGGTTCCAAGGGGACCAGGTAGGTAGAATTCCACTTTGAGAGTATCATTCAAAGTGGTGAGGGCCTTGGGAACAAAAAATTGGGATTTTGCTGTCCAATTCCCAGATAACGGTTTGCTGGGATACTGGACAACATAGGCTGGTTGTAACGTGTGGTTGGGCCGGCTGGAGGGTGACGCTCCGCATTGTCCCAGAACTGACGAGTCAGCAGCGTGTGTCCCCGCGTGGCACAGTGGAGTCACGCATGCGGTGCCACTAACCACCCACCAGCCCCACTTAACACCATCCACTGATGCCTGTGGCCCATCCATGCCAAGTGTAGCCACAATCATCCTCACTATGACATACCTAAAACGGTGTAGGGCCACGGGATGTAACTCCGGGATGTACTCCGTCCCCTGGGCACCAGCATAGGACACTACCCAGCGCATGCGGCGGCGAACATACCGACGCTTTACTGGTGAATCTTGTTTTCCTCACTATCCACTACTCGAATGATCGTCGAGCGCAATAAAATCACAATCCACATCAGAATCATCGTCATATACTGAAAGTCAGAGTCCAGTGCCAAGGGTAAAATATTAGTTTTTCGTTTGACGTTTAAGTAACACCACCGCGCCGTGAGTCACGAGTGCCCACACCAGAGGTAGAAGGTCGAGATCGTCGGGGTTTTCTGCACTATATCGATATCCCTGGTCATTATTTTCGGTTCACTAACTATCAAAGCCGTAGAATTCGTCTTCCATTTCCACTTCCATCAGTGCAGAACTACAACAGGAAGAGGAGAGTCCAATTTTCCGGGGATGAGAGCAGACCATGCGACGCGCATGGATTGAACAAGGTGACTGAGCCGGCGTTCCCACAAGCTAATGCTGGTGTCCCTATATTTTTTGTTTGTTTAAGGCGAACACCCACGGCGCAGACCCCATTCTCTCTACATGTAGGCCTATGAGCGCTTTCGAGCTAAATTTGGACGGCGCTAGAATTTTGGTGTAGATGTAACGGTTTGACACTCACCGAACCAGCAGCCGTTAAGATCTAACGGACGGACCCTGAACGGGTTAGATAAGGCTAAAGAGGTCTTTGGTGCTATTTATGGATTGGAAAAGGCTTATGACGAGGGTGGATATGGGGGGCAAATGTGCAGAT